TTTAAAAAATTACAATCGAAACTAAATAAATAAATAAATAAGTAAATAAATAAATAAATGATACGAAATACCTTTAAAAGCAACCTAGCAGTTTCATTGTCTGCACACAAGATTTCGAAGTGGTTGATAAAAAAAAGGCTGGTACACGACCGAATAGGGTTTGTATTAAGATGATACCCAGGGCACTTTATGCGACTACGCTTTCTGACTTGACCTCTACTGTCTGTTATTTCAGTGACCCTTCTTACGTCTTTAGCTAGGTGTTATTTACGAAGTTGATTTTGTATTGCTCATCTAGCCATCTCAAGAATTTTTTTGATGTTCGATACCGTGATTTTGAGCTTAGTCCCCCTAAGTTACGGCCGGCGTAATGCTGGCTCTGGCAACACTATGAGAACATCCTTTACCCAATTCTGAAGGTGGGGTGAGGGAAGAGAAAGCTAGCGCTCTCAGTTCGCTGCAGTAATGGCCTCACTATAAACTACATGCTCTGAGTAGGATGAGTAGGCGCCTGCCCCAATTTGTTAAGGAACCTCGGAGGTAGGTTTTCGTGAAAGGTGATTCGACCCTTGTTAATTTCCTCGGGAAAATGGTACTCAATACTACTTTACTGAGCAAACAACACTTCCCCAGAAACTTGAGAAAAGATAAGTTCATGTCTTTTCGCAAAGGGGTAGCTCATGAGGTTCACTTTCTCTCTACTCCAGACTGCATGTACAATACCGTTCAGTGAAGTATGCGTTTTTATTTTTACAAATGTAACTTCCTCGAAGCACGAGCACCGTACTGCATGTTGTGTTCAATTTCTTCATGCTAAATATATCGTTTCCAGTCAAGAATCGGCATCTATCTGGCACACAATCCAGCCGGTACCTCATCACGGAATATGCTACACTTTGCACAAATGGTTCACACAAAAAGGATGGCATCATTTGATCGAGGTCCAGAAGGCAATCGGCGGTGGTACCATCAGGTGAAAGAGAGAAAGACACTTGATTGCAACATATTATATATATTATAAACAAAAAAAAATATCTCACTGGCTGAGTTTTTCCGCAGATGAATTGAAGAAGATGCGCCCACCTCAGCACTTCTTTTCAACATTTTATCGATGGCCTTCGAAAGAACTAGCTCAATTGTCGGTTTCAAAGTTATGGCGCAGTAGTGGCATGTTCATTCTTTTTCAATCTACATATTGAATGATATGCTAGCGTTGTATAAGGGAGAGGATAGGTCAGCTATTCGACTCAGTACGCCTTCCATCATGAAGTCGAAATGCTTTGTTACCGACGGCTTAGACGCAGAAATACCCTTGCCTTTTTCCAAGATATTTGTAAGCGAAGGGCGTGCGCAAACACTTATGGAAATGAAGGGCATGGCCTCGATGAAGTCCATTGTAAAAGCGAAGTGTACTGGTTCCTAAAACATGTAGCAAGCAGGATCGTGTCGACATCTTGTGCTTCCATCAACTGGCCGATTGGAAAGAAGCTATTCTCCGGAGGATGACAAGCACAACCTTCTCTTCCTCTGAGTTCTCCGGTGAATTGATAGCGGTGCTACCAATAAAGGTTGTAAATCACAGACATAATTGTCTAGCCCGGGTGCTGTGAATCTAAGGGTGGAGTGTGAAGTCGTGCAATCTTCCGCGCTAATAACTGTATCCATAGGAATAGAATGCGCGCAAAACGGATGGACGGGATACTGGGTTTCCATGCTAGATGACCACGCAGCAAGTACTGAGGGAACGTTCAGCTGTTCCCACTTGACTTCTATTCCTAAAAAGAACTTTTTTGCTTTGTTTTGCACCAGGATGCACCATGCTGCACAGGTTTGGTTCTTGTTAGTGCAGATGGTCACGGAACGAAAACTGTAGCGTGAATAAGCTTACTGTATCTGTTCGAGGGATCTTTTTTGTAGCAAAAGTCAATTAAATATATTGGACTCGAATTGGCGGTAGAGATGTACCCTAAAAGAAAGAATTCATTTTTAGACCTTTCCGCCAGAGTACGACATGGGCAGTGTTCATTGCCATGTGTATCTCTTCTATTCGGATTACGACTGGTTAGCAAATGCCGCGGATGTCGAGGAGTTCCTTATTCCATCACTGCCAAAGTCTAGTGTTAAATTTACAAGGTTCGTTGGATAGAACTGCCTTTCTCCTCTAGCCTCAGGTTCAAATTATTGGCTATTGGGCCAAGCTTCTAAAATTGGCGTTTTTTTCGAGTTTCTGAATTCATAGATAACTTCAAGAGTGCATGGTCATTTATCTGACCCCAAATTCGTCAATTAAAATGTGGTAAGGAGCTCCCTTACTTTAGCTTCCAATTCGCAATAATTACCAGGCATGGCTACTGTATATCACCACCCATACTCATTTTTCAGTTATTATCTCACAAAAACCGTTTTTGAGGAAAAACTTGTCTTTGTCTCTACTCGAATGGGCGGTTGCTAAAAATAAGGAAGAGAGTGCCTCTTGTTGTTAGCAGCCTGCAATACAAAAAAAATTTCTACTCGCTTTTCTTTTGCTAAAGGCAATTGTTTAGGAGGCTGAAGGAATTCAATCACAATGATTTCCTCTGGGGACTTCGTGCTCGGGAGGAAATCTATGATCCGATCACGAATATCATCAAAATAGACACACGAAGGCTATTGATCCAGAAACGCTTGAATACGTATTTCAAAAGTGAGTTCTTTTTGTACCGCTAGAGTTTTTGAACTTGTCATCAGTTACTCCGATCCTTGAAGTGAGTAGCTTTAGCTCGTCGAAATGACGCCACCACGATGGCAGATCTGCAGACATGGATAATTGCCAATAACACCATGGACTTGGATTCATCAGCAATTGATCTCCCGTAGCTATCGAGCAACAATTCCATCCACCTTATTCAGCGGGTTGTACTACAGATGTTGTAGTGCGCGAATTGTGGAAGAACTTTGGGACTACATGTTCGCCCAAGAATTTTGCCACTTCGAATGGATGCTTTTCTTTTTTCAACTTATTTTTTCTGTGTCGCAAGTTCACCCTGTGTATAAGCGAAGCCAATGAAGATGTATTTGTGTTTTGGATAAACATCTAAGTATAATTGAAGAAATGAGAGACTTATAGTTCACTAACAATAATAGCCGAATCGAGCGCACTGTTGGAACATTCAGGACACCTTTTGTAACGTGTTCACCTCTGTACCTCTTTTACCTCCTTTCCAGCAACCAGGTGTAATAAATTAGGTTCTGGCTTCGAACATTTCTATCGAAGAAGTCGATCTTAACTTTAATTACGTTAATTATTGTGGCGACCTTCGAATGAGGGTCGCTTCACATACCGTTATTTGCCAGGACCAGTTGAACTTCAGAGCAGTGATTTTATCCTATATAAGTTAGAAGTTTCACCTGCCAATTGGATAGGAGCGATTGAGTGGGCATGGTTCATCTGCCAGAATATGCTAGGATCTCTATTCCACTAGACCTGTTCCTGGACAGACTTCCTATGTACTTCTCAAAAAGACTATGAAGGTCATTTTAGTCACCATTTCCATTAGAAATAATACCAAAAACTTCTGAAAATCTTCGGACTACAGCCGATAGACGGTAGGAGAATTCTATTACCTAAATTCATTTAGTCGACTTACTGAACCAGTGATTTGCGAGCTTTACAAAAGTTTCAATACATCCAGACGCCAGACGAGGCCCTAAAAGTACCAATTTGTACATTGGCTGGCCACCCCAATTCATTGTATAGGGCAAATACTGTGATTCTGAATGGAAGTCGAATGCGGGGCGCATCCAAAAAACAGAATTGTTGCAGCCTTGACTGCGGAAAATTTGACGTGATTGTTCAAAAATTAAGGCGGGGATCAGCTACGCGCATTCCTAAATTACCGATTAAATTTATTATTTCGATAAAACAAATACTTACATATGTTTTGCGGCCAATATTTAAATTTATGTAGAAGAGAGTGGCTGCTTCAGAGGGTTTTTTTTAAATAAAGCAGAAGCATCTTACCCATTCCCGTGAAAAATTTAATGAACAAAGATTCCGACAGACACGAAGGCAGGTGAAGCTGCCCCATGAGCTTCTGAAGTTATTCTTTGCTTCTCGCGCTCTGGCACACTTCCGTTTTCAGAACTTTCAGAACGCAACGAGATCTTTTGCTTCACAATTTTATAACAATCTGCTTTTGAAAAATTTAAGTTGTACAGAACTGTGGTAGTGACCTATTAGGCTGCACCGTTTCAATTTCTAAAAGCCTGTTTGCTCATATGCACGTATCAGCCCTTGTTCCATGTACGATCTTAGCTGGATGGGGGCTGTATCTCAATGGTATGCAGCACGATTTCCTAAAAATCGAAATCTGGCCGACTAGTATCCTCACGAGTTCAATCAATGCCTCCCGTGGCAAATATCTGGATTTTCCCTCGAGAACCCCTGGTTTACTGCGAAAAAGCTTGTACTTAGTTGTGAGAAGTGCACGGATGTATCCAGAGATGTTTGCCGAGAATCTGACAGCCTATCGAACCGTTTGTTTGCGCTCTTTCAAGTGGCAGGAACCGGCATCTGCGGTTGTATCAGTTCACACCTCTATCACCCTATGCAGTCTTACTTTTTAGGATTTTTTCTCGCTATGTCATTCAGTCTTCACAGTGAGCTTTAGATAGCTATATTCTGGCTAAAAAACGATAAATTCCTTGCATTCATACTAAACTGAGAAGATATGCGTTTTATTTTTCTCGGTCACAGGCGAAGCAGATAAGCATCTATCCTTTCACCGTCCCTTTTATCCTGAGCATAACTAAATTATCTATTACTTGAGAGTTCTGAAATTGATCCTTCCAAATGGTGAAATTTTGTCCATGAATGAAATGAATGGGAACAACGTGATTTCAAAAGACATACAAGGCTAATGTAAGTTCCTGACGGGCTTCAAAAAATTGGTTCATTAATTGTCACGAATCTTTTTTCAAAGTAAGAAGTTAATCCTTATTGGGGTTGAGGGGATTAGGTGAAGTTAAAGTATGGTGAAGACCTGGGTCAGATGAGGTGCAACCAGAATAATGAGTGCTGTAGTCTGATGAACAAAGCATTACTCGTTTCGCAACCGATGCAAACTAGTAGTTGTTTTTATATGAACTTCCTTCATGTTCTACTTCTAAATGAAATTGCCTACGAAGATTCACTATGCTTTTCCATAGAGACATTGGTGCACTTTTGTTACTCAACTCTGTAACTCATCATTATTTCGTCATTCATCTTTTCATGTTGCCACCTCAACCACAGTATTCTATCGAAGTTTCAGACGAAATTTTCATTGTCTCCTATTTACAGTTTTTATCTTTCACGATACACTTTTCGTCGTTTTCCTTCTGTTGAGCTGAGATACTAATTAACTTTGCGCGGCCATGCAATTTAGAGGTTCATTTGAACCAGGTTTGCATGATGAGCTGTCGGCTCTAATCTCAGCGTCATTGATTCTGTCATCACCAGGCAAATAGAACAACCACAACACGAGCAACTTTTTCTTCTCTTATTTTATCCTTTCCTTTTCCGATAATGGAAGCTCGCACTAGGCTTCTAGTGAAATTGTAGTTCTGTAGGGTTGATTGTGTAGTGAAAGAAAGTCCTAAGTCATCTGTATGATTAAGGTGACCGGCCATGCATACCTACCCAATCCATAATCCTCTTGCAGTCAAATCTTTCGTTAATGACTTAGACATTGCTTCTGGACAGTGACCCACGAGGATAACACAACGAAGCTGTCAGGTCTACGGTCTAGAAAGGGAGTAATGAGGGCTCCAAAGCCAGCTTAGCCAACCTGCACACCCGTGGCGGCCGAGTTCATTCCTGAACATATACTAAATTGGAAAAATACAGAGAAGATTAGCATGGCCCCTGCGCAAGGATGACACGCAAATTCGTTCTCTGGTGTCGCAGAGGCTGTGAAGGTTGCGCCATTCGCACCGGGACCCATACGTAGCATTCCAACGTCCTGCTGCACCCAGCTATAGGCAATGGCATAGCACGCCTGTACAACTCTTCCAAATATCCCTTTCATGCATCTTTTGTCGTAACATTCTCGTCCAACCCCTGGTCTCACCACTTTTTTGAAGCCTTATATTGCTCTGAACTTGCTGAATTCCGCATTTTCTTTGCCACCTTGGTACTGTTGACTTCCATTATTCATCTAAAACCAGACACGCCAAGACTACGGTAAACTCTGCCTTTCAGTAAGTTGAGTATGAGAAGCGAAGTACCCATGGCGTCGGAGGTGTAAAAGAAGTAAAAAGGGCAGAGATGAAAAGAGCGGTGAGGAACTGACTTTTTATAGTTCACTGCTGTGTTTTTATTTCCTTTCTCATTTGTTGAAACAGATTCCCTTTCGATTCTCTTTTCCGTTACCCATGGGATCTCAACAAAACTTGAAAATGTATCACAAACCGGTGGCTGGATCTTTCCCTTTCCTTTCTCGAACATTTTTTTGAGTTCCCATTGGGAAACTTGTAGAATTGTTGCCTAGATGATAAATCGTTCCTGAACGAGTTTTTTGCTTTTCAAGCTGTCTCTTGGCTCTTTTCAAGAACTAAAGTTTGAGTTCCATGACGTGCCGGATATGCTTATATAATGATGCATTGACGTCAAAGAAGAAAAACGAATAGCAGGTGTTCACCACATTTTACATCCTGATAAAACAGTTTCAAGAATGTCAGGTAGAAGTATTCGGTAGAATATAGTCGAGAACATTTATTCACATTTATAGCGTTTGTTTCAGGCCATCTGAGTGAAATATTCCATTTTTCTCCCTTTTATCTTCCTTTCTGACCTCTATTTCTCATATCTGTATCATTACCCACGGATCATGAGCCCTCCGCGGGAGACTGGTATGTCTGCTCCTCCCAGTAGGGTATAAGGCTACCAAAGGAAGTTCAGCACGTGACCTCTAGATTCCCGTATGAAAGCAGATTCCATCCAACAGCGGTTGGAATTAACAAAGTCTTCCAGCAAACAAATCAATGAGGGACCCGCATTTGTTCGCTGAAAATCGTCCAGTTCTGAGCTTGCCTGTCAGCTGATCGGCTGTTGTTCCTAATGAAGAACTCCCTTCTTTCCGTTCACTTTATGCCGACAAACATGTGTCCTCGATTTCTCCAATAGTGACTGGTGATGCTATCAATTTCTTGGACTCTCTGAGAATAATTAGCCATCTGGAAAATGACGTAAGAAAGCGAGAAGTATTTACTCGAATATCCATTTCATTCGACAAGAACCTTTCTTATAGCGTTGCTCCATAGATGCATTCACGTATACCAAATGAAAACCCCTCAGTTTCGGGGTATACTCTGTACCACAACAGCGAACTGAACCTAAATCATAGCAAGGCTTCATCGCTTGAAGTACTCTTGATTGTGAAAGTGGGTGCAGTGCCTATACCAGGTTAACTGGTAGCAGACTCGCCTGGAAGTATGAAAGCACTGACTTGTACATCGGCTGGCCACTGCAAGTCATTGAATAGGCCACATATGCATTCACTACCACCTCTACGATTCTGAATGAAGTCAAATGCGGGGGGAGGGGTGGGAGCCATCCCTCAGAGACTGTTTAACCTCAGAAAACCTTATCCTTTATCCCTTACGCTTCATGGAAAGTACTTCCGAGAATTTTGCAAAGGTCTACATCTCCTCTCGAATGTTCCGGAAGATTTTATGGGGATTCTACTTGAGGACACTACTAAGGTAGTAGTCATCCGGGTACATACCTCATCCTTGCTCATTCAAGCATATAATGAGCAAACTGTATACCCGTACTTTCACGATCTTCTCTACTAGTTCGGACCCTATCAACTCCGTTGCTGAGACCCATCGAAACT